CGGCCAACAGATCTTCTTCCTTGAATCTTTCCTGTATTATCAGTCTCAAAATTTCATATTTTGGTCCCCTCATCACGTGGCCTAGGTATTTCAGTTTTCTGGTTTGTATAGTGGTGATTAGTTCTGTTTCTTTACCAACACTCTCCAGTACTTCTTTATTTGTAATTCTATCAGTCCATGATATTTTCAATACTCTGCGGTATAACCAGAGTTCGAAGGCCTCGATTCTTTTTAAATTACATTTTTTTAATGTCCAAGTCTCAGCTCCATATAATAATATTGAAAATATATAACAGCGAATGGTACGTAGTCTGATCTCCAAATTTAGATTTTTGCACGTTAGGAGTGGCTTCATTCGTATAAATGCTGATCTGGCAATCTCTATTCGTCTGTTTATTTCTACAGTATGATCATTGGTTTCATTGATCAAAGTTCCCAAATACTGATATTTTTCTACTTGTTCTATCACGTTACCATTTATTGTCAATAGGTGATGTATATTTTGTGGCCTTTTTGTAATCAGCATGTACTTCGTTTTTTTGGCGTTTATAGTAATTCCCATCTCAGCACTATTTATACTCAAGCTTTCGATAAGATGTTGTAGATCCTCTATACTCGTTGCTATGATCACAGTGTCGTCTGCATATCTTAAATTATTAATTAATTTTCCGTTAACGGTGACTCCCGCTTCGATATTATTGAGCGTGTTTTGGAAAATTTCTTCAGAATATAAGTTAAACAAAAGTGGTAATAACACACATCCCTGTCTAACTCCTCTACAGATCCTCATTTCTTCTGAGTGTTGCCCATCAATTTGAACTATGGCACTTTGGTTCCAATATAATGTTTGCACTATATTTATGATTTTACTGTCAATGCGCTTGTTCATAAGTATTGATATAAGTTTTTCATGTCTTACTTTATCGAAAGCTTTTTCGTAGTCAACGAAGCACAAGTGTAGATCAACATTCACATCCCGACATCGCTGAATTAATATGTTGATGGCAAATAGTCCTTCTCGAGTACCCATTCCATTTCTGAACCCGAACTGCGTCTCGCTAATATCCTCCTCTAGCGTTTCGTATATTCTCTTATGTATTATTTTTAGCAGAACTTAGTAAACTCAAGTGCTTAGTAAACTCTAAATTGTAATAATTATGTGTAACGGTTAAATTTGTAATTTATATATCTTTATGTTCTATGTATTGTCAAATGTAAAACTGTATATACCTTATATTGTATTATACTGTCATCGTGTCAATGACCTCGTAGTCGAGACACGTTAATTGAAATAAAAAAACTACTTTCTAAAGTCAAACTATTCATTTCTTCATAAAACTATTGTCATCATGCAATGTAACTATTTACACGGATTAAAATGACAATAATAACCGTATTTAGCATGTATAAATGATCATCATATTTATTTATTTTGAAGGAAGGTAAAACTTTTGTCTTTGAGTTAGTCAGGTTTGAATGACGATATCGTGATGATCTTTTTCCCATTTATTCCTACTATTGAATATTTGGAGTCTCCGTTTTCACAAAATATAGATTTGACAGCTACGTCTCCCAATAAGTCAATATCTACCGTAGAATTTGACAAAATCCTGGAAGCACTACAAGCATGCCGCATTGACTATCGATATACAAGGTTAATTTACAATACATACAAAAACGCAACTATGTCGGTGAAACTACATGAAAACACGGATCATATCCTAATCGGCAGAGAAGTCCGACAGGGTGATACCTTATCGCCTAAACTGTTTACCGTAAAACTAGAATATGCTTGTAAAAAACTTAACTGGGAAGAGACAGGCCTGAACATTGACGATAGAAGATTAACAAATTTGAAATTCGCAGACGACATAGTTTTGTTCTCAGACAACCTCAAAGAGATATGTACAATGCTACATGAACTTCAGTTAGAGTGTGCCAGTATCGGTTTTAAAATAACAATCTAAAAAACAAAATTCATGACAAACCTAGTACCTAGCGGAATTATCAATATTGGAGATAACGAAGTAGAGCTGGTGAAAAAATACATATAAGTATCGTGGACACGAAATAAAGATCACAAGGGACAACCAAACATGCGAACTACGAAGAAGAATAAACCTAGCATGGGCAACCTATGGAAAACTCAAAGACATCTTTAAAAGCGATATACCAATTTCTTTAAAACCATTTGACCAATGTGTGTTGATTGTGATGACCTGTGGTGCGAAACTTTGACATTGACAGCTACAAGTTCTAAAAATCTGCAAAAAGCCCATAGGAAAATGGAAAGATCAATGCTGAGTATATCGTTTAGTTAGTTACTGTTGTAATTTCCCGAATTTCCATACTGAAATGGAACTGGGCGCCCGAATCAGTGATAAAAGGTGAACAAACAGATTGCTTGAGTGGATGCAACGATGGATTGGACTAACGATTTTAAGAAATTTGATGAAAAGTGCTTAAGATAGAGCACAATGCACACAAATGAGGGAGGCCTATGTCCAGCAGTGGACGCAAAGGGCTAAGTGATGATAATAATGAGGTCAATATTTCAAGCACGAAACACATCCGTTACCTTTCTAACACATATTCCCAAATATTGTTAACAAATTACACTTTGATGGAATAATCTACACTGATGATTCCAAAAATATTGACAGAGTTAGTTGTGCAGTCACAACGTTAATAGACAACATCAAATCGACATTCCATCGTTTTGTAACATTCATACACCTGAATTAGTAAGAATACTTCACGCTATAAACTTTCTCACACTCACTCAAGCCTCTACGGCGATCTACCCTCACTCTTTAGCATTTATCAACTTGATAAAAATTATGTTTACCAGACATCCAATTATTCAAGCCATCCATTACTTAATTAACTTTCTGGTCTCTGAAGGAATCTTCCTGACAATCATCTGGGGACTCTACCATGTAGATATTCGGGGTGATGAAAGAGCAGGGGCCGCTGCTATATCAGCACTGTTATCAACCAAATGTATTTAAAAAAAGTAGTATTTAAATTTAAATATATCTAGTTATTTTAAACGTTTAAGACTTAACTCATTTGTTTTCATATACCTGTTTACTGAACCATGAAATGCGGCATTTTTATACATATCTTTTAATAGGTTTGTATATCTAGAATCTATTCTAGAATGGTTCAGCGAATGGTTCAGAAAAGTCAGCGAATGACAAGTATTCTATGGTTTTTTATTAATGTTCATAGAGTCGGTATATTCAATAGTGCTAAACTCTTTTTGAAACTGTTTACTTCACTGGTTGAAAGAGGTCTAACTTGTGAGTAAATCTACTGGGAAACATCTTGGTAAAGAGTTTGTATAAATAAAAAAAGAGGCTAAATGTTCGTTTTTTATTATCACCTTTTATAAACAAGCTATATTATCAATTATTCCAAACCCTTTTTGCAATTCTCTTTGCTCCACTAATTGAGCGTCAAATTTATTGTGGATCATCTTGGTGAAGAGTTTCTATAAATGAGGGAGGAGGCTGATTGGTCGATAGATTTATATTTAAATACTTTTTACTTCCTTAAAATGCCACGTAAAAAAAAACTGAAAAGAAATTCGGCAGAATTAATTCTGCGTTTTTCCATACATCCGGAATGCTACATTTTCGCAAAAATTTACTAAAAAGAGATTTCTGAGATTTTTCGATGATTGCTCCTCCAATTTTTCACACTTTATATACAATTTGATCTTATTTTATTATTTCATTTGTTTAAGAGCACCACGTAGTTCTCCTTTTTACATTTATGAAATTTCTTTCGAACCCACGTTGCAGATGACCGTATCAGCCACACTTGGGTCAGGTCTAATGGTTCCGAAATTTTCTGTAGAAAATTTCTGTAGAAATTTTCTGATTGAGTGTAGAGTCAGATATAGAAATTCTGATTGTGCTTAGCAATATTTCTGTTATCAGTCAGTGTAACGCCTTGCTGATACTTTATTTTATTATACACTGTTAATGGTTAAATTTTGGTGTTCTTCTTCTTTTCTGACCATGTCAAAATTTTCCTGGTTCCGATGCAAATATTAGTAGTAATTTTATGGTCAAGTTTATTAATATTCTGTTTTTGTTGATTTAAGTTTATCAACGGTAAGAAACTTATTAGCGTAAATGAGTTTGACTTTAAGATTGAAGTTGAAAGATGCCCTTGCTATCTTATGGTTACTGTTTGTGTCAAAACGGTTTAGTACTGGGACGTATGTGCAGATTTATTTGTTGTTTGAGATTATAAAAATAAATTTCATTTTTGGTACTGCCATCACGGCTTGTCCGTGTTCATTTTCCTTTTGTTGTTAAGTTAAAAAAAAAAACAGTGTAAGTTATCTTTTTTCAAGTGGCTTATTAGCAGGTTTGCTTTGTTAGCAAGCTAATAAGCGTGCTAAATGTTAAAAGTCTTCGTCTTGAAAATCCGTCGGCATTAAACAACGACGGATAAATATAAAGTAACCTTGTATAGCTAGTAAAGCCAGCCAAATGAATCAACAGAGGAGAACGTCAAAAGAAAAATAAAAAACGCGGGTTCAGAAGTACTACTAAACATAGAGGTCTTCGAAATAGAAAAAGCTTTATACGAGCTAAAAAGTAATTAAGTTCTTGGACACCACATTATAATTGCCGAGCTGTTGAAAACTTTTAAGACAGTAATAATCTTTATACAAATAAAGTTATTTATTAGATGTCTCCTTAATAGCAAAATCAATATAAACTAAAACGAGTGTTTGGTAATTTTACACCAAAAAGCGGATAAATGGAACCTAAAGAATTATAGACCTATATCGTTACTAAGTAAAGTACACAAAATTTATAAGAGTTCTTAACACTTCATGAAAGTACAAAATGGATAATCACCAACTGGTGAAATAGGCTGGCTTCCTCAAAGGATATAATACATCAGACTGCCTGCTGACAATTGATAGAGAAGGCAAAATGCATATCTTAAAAACAATAACAATCACGTATACTCACATAGTAATCGACAGACTCGTGTGAGGGTTGTGCAATAGCGATTGGTGCAGCATGCGCAACTGAGACTGCTCCAAGGGCTAATCCATGTCCACCACCATATCCATGTCCACCTAATCCACCAATCAAACCTGCGCTAGCGCAGGCTACGAGTGTGGTTAGAGCTACAATCTGAAAGAAACCATAAGGAGTGTTACAATATTACGATATACTAAAAAAATTAAATGAAGGATAATTTTAGATAATACCTTGAAATGAGACCTTCATAATATGATAAAACTAGAAATAAGCTATTTGTTATGTCAACATTGAGAAAATACAAAAGTTGCTGTTTCATTACATTTTTTTAGGAGTCAGAAAATGCTCTAAGTAAAGTACCAAATTTGTTATTAAAACAACTGTACTTTAGTTATCTTAAATGTTATTTCTAAACTTTATCACATTTTAGGATATAACATTTTTGCTCAAACTAGAAATATACACTAATACTGTACCATAATGAACTTTACATTAATTTAATAAACTTTTAAGAAAAAAAGTATAAAATATAGTAATGAAGTTAATATATACGAGAAAATGATAAAACGAAGAAACTGTATAGAAATAAATAGCAATAGAAGAATAAGCAAATAGCTATAGATCTGACACGGACAACCTCTAACCTTCCTTTAAATATAAATGAAGAAAAAAATGCACAATCTTAGATCGGCATACAAACTTAAAGATGGATAATCACACCTACGATCATGCTTTCAAATGTTTCTACTTGTGCTCAACAACAAATAACAGCATCGTTAGCCAAGAAATACTGGTAAGGATCCTTAATGGTAATAATTGGTTATAAAAATCCTTAGTCTAGAGCTGTAGAAAACAGTTGTTAGGCCAATCGTGTGACATATAAAAGCAAAAAACTCACTGACTTTCTCAATGGCTGATGAAAACCACTTAAGAATCTTTGAGCATAAGCTATTAAGGAATATAGTTTGTCTAATCCATTATAACTATAGTACATGAAAAAATTAAATAAATCAGTAGTTAGACAAACTAATATAATACACAGTATGATTTTGACATATTATCTGGTTTTGTCATTTAAAAAGAATACTGGTAGAATAAAGTGAAAGTCACAAGAAAAATTAACCAGAAAATATCATGTAAAAGCTGGATAGGTGATGTAGAATAATGCCTTAAAGTAAGGACAATTCGGCAATACAGAAAAAATTAGATTTTAAAGAAGAATCAAAGAATGTGTTAAGTAGACCAAAACCCACAAATCGTTCTACAGTAAGAGCAGAGGAATATAAAAATAAATATATAGGGACTAAATATTTCAGAGGTAAGTGTTATATTGTAATTTGTGTCAGAATAATATTAAGAGTAAGACTACTGCCATACAAATGGTAAAAGGGTAAAGAAACAGTGTGAAAATAATTTCCTAGTTAAAGCGAAAACGATTCCAAAGAAATAAAAGTATAAATTCTTAAAAACAGTGCAAACTTTGAAAAATTAGCTAAAGCAAAAATAAAATGGTCTTTTTCAGAATCACTCTATCTACATCAAAAGGAATAGATTGTTGGTCCCCTCTTATCAACAATTTTTTTAAAAATGTCTCTAAATGTTATGTCAATTTTAAATAGAGTGCGGTATTTTAGTATTGCTTTTGCTTGGTTTATTTTCAAAATATAAAGTAACCAGGAGATAACCCCAAACAATAATGTATACAAGCAATAATGTCGCGCATATCAGATATAAGTCAAGAAGCGTTCGTAAAGATGAAGTCTCTTTTCAGAAGTCACGATTTACTACTTATTAAAATCTCTATCATCAGATGCTATATATTTTCTACAATCTTATACGGAGTAAAGGCATGGACGCTCTCTGAAGCTTCTTTAGAAAACCTAGAGACTCTCGAGATGTAGTGTTAGAGGCTTATCTTAAGAATTTCATAGGTGGATCGTGTGACTTATATTGAGGTCCTATGTAGAATGGGCAAGTAATGCGAGATTACTAACACAATCAAAGAGCGCGAATTGGAATATCTTGACCATGTTATGAGAAATTAACACAAATATGGCAACTTATTCTTCAGGCAAGGTATTTGGAAAGACAGGACCAGGGAGAAGAAAAATATCTAGACTTTAAAACCTAAGAAAATGGTTCAATACGTCTACAAACGGAATATTTCAAATAGCTGCAAGTAAAGTTAGGATAGCTATACGGATCGCCATCACACGAAACGGATAGGCACCGTAGGAAGAAGAAATACATCGCTGACATTAACCACCAAAATAATAACATATACATTTAATAAACGTATAAAACTAGTAGAAGAACAAACAAGTCATTAGATTGGGAAGATCGTAAACCGATGAACCAAAACTTAAGCAAGTTGATAAAATTGTTTACCTTGGACAGCAATTAAATTGAAACGCAGAAACTCACAGCGAAATTAAAAGGATAAAGCAAGCTAGAGATGCTTTTAAAAGGATGTCCACGGTGTTATGCAACAGAGACCTAAAATTGGTATTGACGATCCGTCTACTTCGCTGCTACGTGTTCTCGGTCTTACTTTATGTTGTTGAGTCCTGGACTGTGAATAAAATCGATCTAAATCGCCTTGAGGCTTTCGAAATGTGGTACTATAGAAGAATTTTAAAAGTTTCCTGGGTGGAGAAGATTCGAATCTCCACAATACTAGAACGTCTCAGCAAGACTACTGAGATCATGAAAAGCATCAAGCAAAGAAAACTGGAGTATTTGGGACATGTAATGAGACGTCCTAAATATAGGTTGCTAGAAAATATCACGCAAGGAAAAATAGCAGGCAAACGCAGTCCAGGACGAAGAAGAACCTCATGGTTGAAGAACTTGCGAGATTGATATGATGTTAATACAAGCATGCTATTTAGGATGGCAGTGAATAAAATTAAGATAGCTATAAGGTTCTGAAAGGACATGGTACATGAGGAAGAAGAATGATAAAGCAAAAGAAATTAGTGGAATATAACACATTGGCATATTTATGTTTAGTTGATCTAAAGAAGGCATTTAAAGGATTAAATTAAAGAATGTTATCTACTTGTACGCCAGTAAAATACCTCTAGAAATAATCAAAACTATCAAAAGTATATACCAGAACAATACAATAAAAGTAAAATTAGAAGACGGACTAACCGATTAAATTAAGGATGTCAATATAATGCGACAAGGGAATTTTCTAGGCCCTTTAGTATTTAAGCTGATAGCTGAAGCACAGACAGAACAAAAAGAATACTAGAAAGGACACAGAGACGAAAAACAACTAGAAAAATATATGCTCACCATGGGACAGAGCTGGAAGTACAGATATAGGAAGGAGTTACACAGTGATGAACATCCAGGATTTAGTGAAAAAGAAAAGAGTAGAATGGAACTTATGAATGGATCATAATAAGCAAATGACAACAAATAAGGTAGTAAAGATTACGAGAGACGGTTCTTTAATAAAAGGACAATCAGTGGGAAGACCACAAACACGATAAAAACTTACTGGAGTTATATTGAAAAATAGACAAATACATGTCTACATAAGAAAATAACAAAAATAAGCTTTCACTTGCTGACAACAACAGTCAGTAATGACTGCTGTTGTCATTATCACCAGCAGTAAACATAAACCAAAAACACTCAAATTGGAATTCTAGAGAATAACGTTTAAATATTTTTTAACATTACTTATACAAACAGTTTTCATAAGGAATCAAAATTCATTAGTGATAATTAGTCATTTTCATTAGTGAAAAGATAAACCAATTTTAGTTGATTGAAATGCACGCACAATTAAAACACAAGTTTAAAAAGTACAAAAAAGGTTTGCACACACATAGCAGTTAACTATGTGTTTTAGAAAAGCTAAAAAGTTCAGATTAAACACGATTTTCTCAATAAACCGAACTGGAGAATAGGAATGATTTTTGTTGAAGTTCTAGAGAAATACGAAGTTTAAATAATTTAACAAATTCGGAACAAATAAAGGAAAATTTTAAAGTACGAGGGGTTACATATAAAATAAAATAAAGTTGAAACTCTTGTACTATAGAAAACATTTTCGTTTATAAGAACCTTTTTGGTAAAAAAGACCCAAAAAACTATTTCTGTATATTACGAAGAGACTAAAAAGGGAAAATTTAATATGAAAATATGCAAGAATATCGAAGAAAGACTTTAAAACAATCCAAATATTCCACTGCGTATAAGAATCACTAAAAACTACCCCAATTCTACCACTTTACACACCTTGGCAAACATGATTAATTAATTAAATTCACTGTACTGAGTACTATGCGATACTGACTAGGGGATAGAAGTATCCCACTTATATACTAAATATTCCTTACCGCTGGACGTTCACCACAATTAAAATAAGAAAAAATCAACACAGTACCCACTAGTACTATTAAGTATACAAAGCATGCTCGAAAGTGTATATTGCGACAATAGCAAGGTCTATCTGCAGCAAATGTGCATTTTTCCTGCGAACGGGGAACCGCCTACCCGGCTTTTTTGGTACCGAATGTGCACTGGCTTGGAACCTTATTGATGCGTGATTTGGCGTATGTTGATTCAGTTGGTTCTAGGCTGGTGCGTTCGTGTGATTTTAAATGAACAATTACTTTAAGGTTTTCTTTATTTGTTTTAAATCTATAATTACAAGTATACTGTGTGAAATATTTTTATGCAGAAAAATTGATTGGAAGATAATTTCAAATTCAATTATTCCTACTAGTGTTATGAAACTATTTTTTTTGTTTGCCCTAATATTTTTCAAATATATTGTTTAAAATAAACTAAAAGTACAAAAATAAGTGTTTGATTCTAATTTTAAAAATCGTTTCAAAACGACACATCGATTAATAAAGGAGTACGTTCATTTAAATAATATTTTATGTAGGATAAAACCAAACCAAACCAAACTTAATTGTATCAAGAATTTTACGTTTGTTTTGACGTTTAGATTTCCAATTTAGCAAGCGTTTTCAAAATAATTAGAAAAAAATCAAAACAGATGTTAATTTTTATTACTATCAATTGTGGTTAAATTCTATAAAAAATAATTTTTAATCTAAACAGTCCTTAAAAAAAATTTCAAGTAACGTTGAAAACAAAACTGACTACGGTTCTGATAATGTTTTTA